AGCACTAACAGCCAGAGCTAGTCACTAGTGGCTTAAAGCTGACGAGACTGATCAAAGTCAGTAGCCTGATGTTGAATAAAGAGCTACACACCTCTGTTAGTTCACACCACTCACGTGACTGAAAGGGGTCTGTTCAGCATGTGCTATACAGATTCCATTAGTTTTTCTTTATTAAGCAATCATTTTGTTCTAACTTTTGTCACCAAGGTCACCAAAGGGCTTTTATATCAAAACACAGAGTATGTACGATACGCTGACAGTCTGATTGATGTCTGGCTAGCTCTAGTTCAATTTGCAGCTTCCTTAGAAATGTCTCACTCAATGTATCAAATGAAATACAGCCCTGCATTTTCTCCATCTCTCTGCTTTCTCCTTTAATTTTTTAAATGACTTGATGCCAGCCATCTCTGCCTATGATTCTCTTTGCTGTTCCTTCTCATACTAAATCCTTGTGTTCCCACTTGACCAGGAATATTAAAAGTGGCTCAGCGTGCCTCTCTGGTTAATTAGAGCACAGCAGTGGCAGCAACAGCTTCATGCTGATGGATGGTACACTGCTGAGCTCCTCACAGGCCAGGATTAATGGCTCCTGCCTGACTACGATATGCCGTGTGTGTATTCGCTTATATGTAGAAGCTGTGTGTGTGTGATGCATAGTGCACAGGAATAGTATTTGTATGAATAGTGAGTGTTTTACTTTACATGATTTTATTATATACATTTTTCTCAAGCTTTAGCTATATAGCACTTGAAAAAAAATGTTTTAAGTGTCCTGTTGACAGTTCTGAATAAAGTGTCGTACTGAAGATGAACAAAAATTAAAAAAAAAATCCACAGCACTGAACTCAGTGCAGGAGGAGGAAGTTGATAGCCTGGCACAGTCCCACACAACAGGTGTAATCTGGACAGCAGGGAATCTGCAGACGTGGCGCCAAGACGCAGCTCAGTGAGAGATGAATTAAACAAGAAAACGCACGTTTGCACGCACGCACACCAAAACTAATTTTACCCTGACAAAAAACTACATTTATTTACATAAATACATATTTAAAGCTATTTTGATCCATCACACAGTCTTAGATACTGTACAATTAAAGCCCAGATAAAATAGGACTGTAACAAAAGTCCTATTCTCACATTCTTGAGGAAAGTAGTAGTATTATTATTATTTTTATATACTATATACTTTACAGAGTGCTCCTTGCATTTCGTCCTATTGCAGCTGGGATAGATCCCAGCTGTCCCCACTATCCTGAATTGGATAAGCTGAAGTGGATGGGTGGATGACTATACTATACTGTACTATACTTTAGTTAAATGGTATAGTTTTACCTTACTGGGTGTATGTGACATTCACTAAACCAGCGTCTGATAATGTCTAAAGTGAAACATTGTAGTAGAAGATAAAATGAAACAATGCTTTCACTGCGAGGTTGATAGTGTAGTTAAGTCATTTTTTCCATTAGAAAATTCTGTTCTATTATTATAATTAGAAAGAATTGATCCTTTACTTTTGCATCAACACTTAAAATACATATTAATCAGGTCTACTGTTTTTGCCTGACTGCCGTTGGTGATTGTAAATAGGAAATTGAGCTGTAAATTAATTTTTCACCACACTGTAGCAATCCATAGTCGGAAGGGAAAGCAATGTCTAAAAGCAACCAGGTTAATAAACCAAACTAAGCGGCTTGTTCTATTGATCTCTCTCTGCTCTGTCTCTGCTGTGGTATCTGTATCACAGCATGGCACCTACATGGGGATATTGTGACTTGAGTGACTGATGTCTCCCTCTCTAGCTCTTACACGCTGTCTTTCTTTCTCACTCTCTCTCTCCTTCTTCCAGTTATTGTCTACATTTTGACCAATTAATCAACAGCCACATTTCTATGCTGTACTGAGACTTGCTTGCCTTAATAAGTCGTTGTTATGGTTTGTTATGGTTTCGCCATTCAGTTGGATTTGGCCATTTTAACATTACTTTATGCACTCCATACTGTATGTAAATGCCACTTGTTTTGCACAATATCCAACTACCAACCTCTGTATATTTTATAT